CCCTGTAGGTTGCCAACCTACAGCCCCAAGCCCCTTGAAGCCAGTTTTTAGCCCTGTAGGTTTCCAACCTACAGCCCCAAGCCCCTTGAAGCCAGTTCTTAGCCCTGTAGGTTGCCAACCTACAGCCCCAAGCCCCTTGAAGCCAGTTCTTAGCCCTGTAGGTTGCCAACCTACAGCCCCAAGCCCCTTGAAGCCAGTTCTTAGCCCTGTAGGTTGCCAACCTACAGCCCCAAGCCCCTTGAAGCCAGTTCTTAGCCCTGCAGGTTGCCAACCTACAGCTCCAAGCCCCTTGAAGCCAGTTCTTAGCCCTGTAGGTTGCCAACCTACAGCCCCAAGCCCCTTGAAGCCAGTTCTTAGCCCTGTAGGTTGCCAACCTACAGCCCCTTGCCAACCTACAGCCCCAAGCCCCTTGAAGCCAGTTTTTAGCACTGTAGGTTGTCAACCTACAGCCCCAAGCCCCTTGAAGCCAGTTTTTAACCCTGCACCTACAGCCCCAAGCCCCTTGAAGCAAGATTTTAGCCCTGTGGGTTGCCAACCTACAGCCCCAAGCCCCTTGAAGCAAGTTTTTAGCCATGTAGGTTGCCAACCTACAGCCTCAAGCCTGTTTTTAGCCCTGTAGGTTGCCAACCTACAGCCCCAAGCCCCTTGAAGCCAGTTTTTAGCACACCCCCAAGCCCTTGAAACAAGTTTTTAACCGTGTACCTACAGCCCCAAGCCCGTTGAAGCCAGTTCTTAGCCCTGTAGCTTGCCAACCTACAGCCCCAAGCTCCTTGAAGCAAGTTTTTAGCCCTGTAGGTTGCCTTGCCAACCTACAGCCCCAAGCCCCTTGAAGCCAGTTTTTGACCCTGTACCTACAGCCCCAAGCCCCTTGAAGCCAGTTTTTAGCGCTGTAGGTTGCCAACCTACAGCCCCAAGCCCCTTGAAGCCAGTTCTTAGCTCCTGCCCCAAGCCCCTTGAAGCCAGTTTTTAGCCCTGTAGGTTGCCAACCTACAGCGCCAAGCCCCTTGAAGCCAGTTTTTAGCCATGTAGCTTGCCAACCTACAGCCCCAAGCCCCTTGAAGCCAGTTCTTAGCCCTGTAGGTTGCCAACCTACAGCCCCAAGCCCCTTGAAGCCAGTTCTTAGCCCTGTAGGTTGCCAACCTACAGCCCCAAGCCCCTTGAAGCCAGTTTTTAGCACTGTAGGTTGCTAACCTACAGCCCAAGCACCTTGAAACCAGTTTTTAGCACTGTAGGTTGCCAACCTAAAGCCCTTTCCAACCTACAGCCCCAAGCCCTTGAAGCCAGTTCTTAGCCCTGTAGGTCGCCAACCTACAGCCCCAAGCCCCTTGAATCCAGTTTTTAACCCTGTAGGTTGCCAGCCTACAACCCCAAGCCTCCTGAAGCCAGTTTTTACACCTGTAGGTTGCCAACCTACAGCCCCGAGCCCCTTGAAGCCAGTTTTTAGCATTGTAGGTTGCCAACCTACACCCCCAAGCCCCTTGAAGCCAGTTTTTAGCCCTGTAGGTTGCCAACCTACAGCCCCAAGCCCCTTGAAGCCAGTTTTTAGCCATGTAGGTTGCCAACCTACAGCCCCTGGCCCAAGCCCCTTGAAGCCAGTTCTTAGACCTCTAGGTTGCAAATCTACAGCCCCAAGCCCCTTGAAGCCAGTTCTTAGCCCTGTAGGTTGCCAACCTTCAGCCCAAGCCCCTTGAAGCCAGTTTTTAACCCTGTAGGTTGCCAACCTACAGCCCCAAGCCCCTTGAAGCCAGTTTTTAACCCTTGTAGGTTGCCAACCTACAGCCCCAAGCCCCTTGAAGCCAGTTTTTAGCCCTGAAGGTTGCCAACCTACAGCCCCAAGCCCCTTGAAGCCAGTTTTTAGCCCTGCATGTTGCCAACCTACAGCCCCAAGCCCCTTGAAGGCAGTTTTAAGCCCTGTAGTGCTTAGCCACGTAGGTTGCCAACCTGCAGCCCAAGCCCCTTGATGCCAGTTTTTAGCCTTGTAGGTTGCCAACCTACACCCCCAAGCCCCTTGAATCCAGTTTTTAGCCCTGTAGGTTGCCAACCTACACCCCCAAGCCCCTTGGAGCCAGCTTTTAACCCTGCAGCTTGCTTGCCAACCTACAGCCCCAAGCTCCTTGAAGCCAGTTTTCAGCGCTGTAGGTTGCCAACCTACAGCCCCAAGCCAGTTTTTAGCTCTGTAGGTTAACAACCTACAGCCCAAACTTGAAGGCAGTTTTTAGCCCTGTATGTTGCCAACCTACAGCCCCAAGCCGCTTGAAGCCAGTTCTTAGCCGTGTAGGTTGCCAACCTACAGCCACAAGCCCTGGAAGCCAGTTCTTAGCCCTGTAGGTTGCCAACCTACAGCCCCACACTTGAAGCCACTTCTTAGCCCTGTAGGTTGCCAACCTACAGCCCAAGCCCCTTGAAGCCAGTTTTTAGCCCTGTAGGTTTCCAACCTACAGCCCCAAGCCCCTTGCTCCACGTGAGTGGGCCCTCAACCCTTGAAACCAATTCTTAGCCCTCTAGGTTGCCAACCTTAATCCTGTAGGTTGCCAACCTACAGCCCTAAGCCCATTGAAGCCACTTCTTAGCCCTGTAGGTTGCCAACCTACAGCCCCAAGCCCCTTGAAGCCAGTTCTTAGCTCTGTAGGTTCCCATCTCCACCCATGAAGCCAGTTCTTAACCCTGTAGGTCCCTGTGCCCAAAGCTCCCAGTTTGTGCGCCCCACCTCCACCCTTAAAGCCAATTCTTAGCCCTGTAGGCTGCCGCAACCTACAGCCCCAAGCTCCCGGCCAGTGGCCCCATCTCCACCCTTGAAGCCAGTTCTTAGCCCTGTAGGTTGCCAACCTACAGCCCCAAGCCCATTGAATCCAGTTTTTAGCCCTGTAGGTTGCCAACCTACAGCCCCAAACCCATTGAAGCCAGTTTTTAACTCTGTAGGTTGCCAACCTACAGCCCAAGCCCCTTGAAGCCAGCCTTTAGCCCTGTAGGTTGCCAACCTACACCCCCAACCCCTTGAACCCAGTTTTTAGCCCTGTAGGTTGCCAACCTACAGCCCCAAGCCCCTTGAAGCCAGTTCTTAGCCCAACCTTCAGCCCAAGCCCCTTAAAGCCAGTTTTTAACCATGTAGGTTGCCAACCTACAGCCCCAAGCCCCTTGAAGCCAGTTTTTAGCCCTGTAGGTTGCCAACCTACAGCCCCAAGCCCCTTGAAGCCAGTTCTTAGCCCTGTAGGTTGCCAACCTACAGCCCCAAGCCCCTTGAAGCCAGTTCTTAGCCCTGTAGGTTGCCAACCTACAGCCCCAAGCCCCTTGAAGCCAGTTCTTAGCCCTGTAGGTTGCCAACCTACAGCCCCAAGCCCCTTGAAGCCAGTTCTTAGCCCTGTAGGTTGCCAACCTACAGCCCCAAGCCCCTTGAAGCCAGTTCTTAGCCCTGTAGGTTGCCAACCTACAGCCCCAAGCCCCTTGAAGCCAGTTCTTAGCCCTGTAGGTTGCCAACCTACAGCCCCAAGCCCCTTGAAGCCAGTTCTTAGCCCTGTAGGTTGCCAACCTACAGCCCCAAGCCCCTTGAAGCCAGTTCTTAGCCCTGTAGGTTGCCAACCTACAGCCCCAAGCCCCTTGAAGCCAGTTCTTAGCCCTGTAGGTTGCCAACCTACAGCCCCAAGCCCCTTGAAGCCAGTTCTTAGCCCTGTAGGTTCCCATCTCCACCCATGAAGCCAGTTCTTAACCCTGTAGGTCCCTGTGCCCAAAGCTCCCAGTTTGTGGGCCCCATCTCCCCCCTTAAAGCCAGATCTTAGCCCTGTAGGTTGCCGCAACCTACAGCCCCAAGCTCCCCGTCAGTGGCCCCATCTCCACCCTTGAAGCCAGTTTTTAGCCCTGCAGGTTGCCAACCTACAGCCCCGCCCCTTGAAGCCAGTTTTTAGCCCTGTAGTTCTTAGCCATGCAGGTTGCCAACCTACAGCCCCAAGCCCCTTGAACCCAGTTTTTAACCCTGTAGGTTGCCAACCTACAGCCCCAAGCCCCTTGAAGCCAGTTCTTAGACCTGTAGGTTGCCAACCTTCAGCCCAAGCCCCTTGAAGCCAGTTTTTAACCCTGTAGGTTGCCAACCTACAGCCCCAAGCCCCTTGAAGCGACGCTTTACCCGTGTAGGTTGCCAACCTACAGCTCCAAGCCCCTTGAAGCCAGCCTTTAGCCCTGTAGGTTGCCAACCTACAGCCCCAAGCCCCTTGAAGCCAGTTCTTAGCCCTGTAGGTTGCCAACCTACAACCCCAAGCCCCTTGAAGCCAGTTTTTAGCCTGTAGGTTGCCAACCTAACAGCCCCAAGCCCATTGAAGCCAGTTTTTAGCATTGTAGGTTGCCAACCTACAGCCCCAAGCCCCTTGAAGCCGGTTTTTAGCCTTGTAGGCTGCCAACCTACAGCCCCAAGCCCCTTGGAGCCAGTTCTTTAGCCCTGTAGGTTGCCAACCTACAGTCTCAAGCCCATTGAAGCCAGTTTTTAACCCTGCAGGTTGCCAACCTACAGCCCCAAGCCCCTTGAAGCCCCAAGCTCCCCGTCAGTGGCCCCATCTCCACCCTTGAAGCCAGTTCTTAGCCCTGTAGGTTGCCGCAACCTACAGCCCCAAGCTCCCCGTCAGTGGCCCCATCTCCACCCTTGAAGCCAGTTCTTAGCCCTGTAACTACAGCTCCAAGCTGCCGTTAGTGGGCCTGGCATATCCAAGTAGTGCGCAACCTGATACTAAGACTGTATTTACTAATACTAATGTTTTTCCACTGTTTGCCAATTACAAGTGCAGCTTTTCCAGAAATGTCAAGCTTAGTGCCGAATTGTTTATTGGCACCTCCCAAAAAAAACATCTATGAAAACAAAACGAACAATATATGGCTATGAGTCAAAACCCTGGTACCCTAGGTACCCCCAAATAGCTGGTTTGTGGATGGTTATCCCCAAAGCGTGGCAATAGCAGGTTTTGCCAGATCCCCATATAGATCTCCAACCGCTGGCGCGCCAAGGGGATCCAAGGGGCACAAAGCCGCAGACATCGGCCTCTGGGAAGAGTGGCTGGATGGCTCTTTTCACCTGACCGTTTCCGCCATTTGGCCCCTTGAGAACCCCAGCTGTCATCCCATTTCTTGATGATGGGAAACGTCTATGGGAAACTAAAATTTTGAGAAGGCAGTTGAGTTCCACACAATGCTGAGCCTAAAAAAGGCCACTTGATATTCAAGAACATGAGGAGGATTTTGACCCCTGAAAAAATGGAATTCGATTGGCAAATGACATGGGTCAGAGATAGAACCCAACTTAACATGGGTCAAGCCATTGGGTGCTGAAGACCATACAAATGACAATGTCTGTTTGGGTAGCCAAAAAAAAGTTGGAGCCACACCCACCAGGAACAGGTTCAATAATTGTTCTTTTCTGATGATTGAAGTACTGCAGAATCTTTACTGATTATAATTCAATGAAAAATGCGGCCAGTGAAGATTGAGCTAAAAATCGTACTCAACAGAACTGCAGAAACAGTTGTGCGTGATCCATGATGATGGAGAGGGTGCCAAAAGGAGAAAGCCAAATGTCTTCTCCCCTAGAAGAACACTCAGCCATGCGAGCAAATGGATCGCATCAGTTCAGTTGATACAAGAAATTTCCTGACTCTCAAAGGCAGTTGTGAAAACCGTTGATATGTTGCAACCTGTTTGTTCAAACAACCCATTACTAATAAATTACCCTCTGGTACACTAACATAAGTATGGAAAATCACCATTTTCAATGGGTAAATCCACTATTTCTATGGCCATGTTCAATAGCTTTTTGTATGTTTACATGGTCATGAGAGATGTATATAGTGGATTGTATTCCAATGTCATTTGGCCACACACCTTATCCCACCGTTTTCATTAGAAGAATTGGTGTAGTGGATATGTGTATAATATATATATATATCATGTAACATATATATCATGTAACATATATCATGTATATATACATATATATCATATGTATATTTGAATAGCTCCAATGATATTTCGCCATGATATAACCACGGTTATCCCATCGGAAATCCCCATGGAAATCTCCAACCCCAACGGATCCAACGGATCCAACGGATCCGTCTCTACCAGCCGCTGCGCGGCATTCTCGGACTCGCTGCTTGGGGTGATCTGTGACAGTAGCAGCTGCACGTCCGCCTGGAAAGCCGAAAACCATGGAATCTCGGAAGAAAATGGGGTTAAAGGATAAAAAGCAAGTCACTGTGGAAATTCGATTTTGGAATGGGATTCAATGAAAAATGGTGAAATCCTGGAACCGAAGCAACACAAAGGGTAAGACAACCAAGAATACTGTACTGAGTAAATAGGGAGTTTGCACGTGAAGAAAGATGTTGTCTTGCTAGCGAGCAGCCTAATGACAGCAACTTCAAAAAAACGAGCGCTTTCTATCAGGGGCTGGCCATTGCCCAAATTCACTAGCTACAACCATCATTTCTAGCTTTAATCATCATTTGTCTTGATCAATATCACTATTTCGGTTGAACCTGTTCAACCTCAATTTGTTCATCATAAAATCACCATGTTCCTGGTGGAAGCACCATTTCTTCATGCTAGACTCACAATTTTCCCAGTGAGTCTCCGTTCACTGGCCTCCCAACACTGTCCTGGCAATGCTGGAGGCCATGCCTCGGCGATCTTTGGACGACTTCCATCGATGTCGATCATTTGTTTCACTGTCTGGACAGTAATAATAATAATAATGATCATCATCACCATCATCATCATCATCATCAAATAGATAGTTCTGATCATTTTGTGTTAGTTATCATTGTTGTAATTAGATGTTAAAAATACAGTATATAATCCACATTGATTAATCACCATCGTCCCCATTCATAATCAAAAATAGTATATTATAGTCGGCCATTTCTATTTGATAACAATCCATTGTTTTATCATCATTGATTAATGGGATTATTTGATAATCATTGATAAGTTTGATACATCAATAGCCATCGATCCTCACGCTAACCTGGAATGCATGGGAGAAGCATCGAACTAGCATCCTGGTTTCATACTCTTCTCTAGCATGGACTCTCCTTAAATTTACCATGGAATATCATGGAATCTGTCAAATCCAATAGGAAGATACCAAGATCACATGGTTCGTCATCATCACTAAAAGGGCCATAATGTTAGGGGCTGTCCCCATTTGAGACAAACCCAGCCATCCTGCAAACATGGGAAAAAATCAACCCACAAAGTTTTTAGAAGCCGTGTTTTTTTGCGGCTTTAGTCCATCAATAAGTCGTTTTTTTTGTGTCGGTGATTTCACAGGGTGATTTCTTCGACATCCACCTGGAGACGGCACATATTGAACTGACTGTTGGAAGACATTGGATCACGGGGTATCAAAAAACTGGTGCTACTATGATTGGGGCATGGGATTCGTATAATATGCATAGTAATGTGACAAGTAATGTGTATAATACTTGTATAATCATGATGTTGGTTAAGATTGATGGGATTAAATCAATTACTACTGTATGTTTTGTTTGGATCCCCTTCTTGAAATTCATTCTGGCTGAAATTTACAACAATAATTCACCAATCTGAGAAGTTCGGCGATTTTGGGATAGTTACCCTTACTAAGCATCACTGGAATGATGGGATTTTGAGCTTCCAAGAGTGCCGAAGAAAACGCTTGCGTCAATTCCGCGCCTTGTTGACCTTTGGTGCCATGCGGCGTGCTGGCGCTGCCTGTGAAATCAACTTGAGGTAACTTCAAGTCATTTGACGTTGAACTTGTGAAGAGTTCTAGGGAAAAGAGCGCAACATCGAGCGTGCTGCTTGCTCAATTTCCTAGTTTTTCTATTGTATATAATTAACCCTAAATCCACTGGCTAATCGTTCTTTGCTCAAATCGAATTCCAATTTCAGGTATTCTACATTTTGAAACAAACCCAAGTCATAGTAGTCATAAAAATCCTCATTCAACAGGCTTGTGGAACACCTATCAGAAAGTCAACATACGGTCAGTTTCCTGAATAAATGGGATGACACCAACAGGAACTTCTCATCGCCGGGACGGGATGAAAAATACCACTTTCATGTGCAGCCAGTAAGTGGTTGTAGTTACCCTCTGGTTATGTCAAAATAGCTATTGAAAATGACCATTTATAGTGGATTTTCCCATTAAAAATGGTGATTTTCCATAGTTATGTTAGTTTACCAGAGGGTAGCGAACCATATTCACCAACTGACCATTTCTGGGATACCCCAAAAGGGTGCGCGGTGCCAAACGGCACGGCCCTCACCTTGGACTTTTTGCGAGGCCACCACGTCTCTTGATCCTCAGATGGTTTGGTGTAATCTATAGGAACCCAAGGGTTCATTCCCATCAAAGCAATAGTTTTCCGGTGCCCATCATTTTTGTCCTTGAAACAAATCTGGGACTGAACCAAGCAAGTGGATCCAAGGGGGATTCCCGAACAACAATCCAAGCGATAACAAGATTTGCCCTTGTCGTTCAATATTTCATGTTAGCCCCCAATATTTCAGCGCTCTTCCGGGATCAGTCGATGGGTATCATGTCTGTCCCTGGAAGAATCGAGTGAGCCGAGTGACAGCTGAGGCGTGCTGGATGAAGGTATAGATACAAGCCCCTCAGGTTGACCCAATCCCAGCATATTGGGTGCCCATTTTGGGTGGTTTATCCCAGTGAATTGTCGCGGAGGGATATCCCCATATATGACTTGTAGATGGTGAACAATCCACATATTACTTGGTAGATCACATGTATGCTTGGGTTATCTACAACCATATACCAACTATTCTTCCATCCAGTTACCCCAATTCTGTGGAGGAAATTTCCAGTACCTCCATTTAGTTCAGGGATTTCGCACCCGTATATCCAGTGATTCAGCATGACTGATAATCATGTTCCGTATGAAATTGCTAGGCTGGTGATAGTCATCTCCCTTTTCAGACACACCCCAATCGAAGAATGCCAACCGATAATATCATTCATATCCCCATTATTATCATTAATATCATTAATATCCCCATTACTCTTTTCGCCCTACAATCAGAAAAATCTCTGAGCCAAGTTTCACTGGGACGAACATTGTACTCTCGTAGCTATGGGTCATATTCATAAAACCGTTTAATTGGATGTCAAATTGATATTGAATGAAATATTAGTAGCATATTGATGTATCAAACTGAAATGGATGGTTTTTGCGAGAACCAAGAGTGCTGTGGCTGCAAAATTAGCAAAAGCCTGACTTGACCCATACCCAAGTTATATATTCCATTGATATCCCATTCTATATATATATATATATCTTGCTTTATCCGATTGCCAGTAACATTGGGACCCATCCCCCATTTCTGGAGAAATCTGAAAAAGGAGCAACCCTCGCCTGCTATGGCCAGAGCCAGCTGTGTGAATTCCAGAGGCAAAAAGAGAAGTGCTGTGACCTCGACACATTGCGACCTACAAAATGGGTAGCCAACGAAGCTAGGAAATGTTACATAAAATGTTGAATCTATGGGTGTTTCAATTTCATGGCTATTGATTTGAATGGGTATTCAACCCAACAAAATTTGATTTTGAATGGGATATATGATACAAGCAAGTAAAACCCAGGAATCCTAGCTGGTTAGCAAAGATATTTACCTTTTTATCTCCAGGATAACCCTGCGAATCGGCCCTTTCTTACATCACCAGGGGTATTACTTCCCAACAATCATCCTCCAAGTGGAGACTGAAATATTGTGGGGGCTGACAATTTTGCTTTAAAGATCCTCTGGCATGGATTTTTTCACATGGTTGGCGTATAGTACCAGTTCTAGATCTGGATGGTTGAAAAATCCTGAAACCGTGTTTTTCGTGGGGATCTTTATGATTTCTGAGAGAAAGCCAATGTATTCTGTTGGGTTCAACATGTCCCCCATTAATAACAAGATCATATTTTTAATTAATCTGGATGCTATCTGGATGCTTCCAAAATCATGAAGAAAAAAAAAACTTGAATTTGACCATTGTTCCATTGTCCGTGAAACCGCATTATTCTTTGATAACAAAGCCACTTTTAAATTGGTAATCGCCAGACAATCCGGAAACTAAATCATAGTAGACTGAATACAAGTAGCGTTTTTTCAGGTGGATCAATTTACACAATTCCCTTATTGGATGGTTCAAGCCTGTTCGAGGTATGAAACACCAATGCAACTGGTATCATTGAAATTGGTATGTTAAATTCCTGCAGGTATTTATAGGTTACATTGATAGTCCCCGATATTGTTCTATCTATTAATCTTCCCAAAAAAAAGTTCGTAAACCCCCAACCCAAGAGCATCAAGAACCCATCAAAATGATGGGGGTGAAATCGCCATGGTGCCCATGGCACCCCTTTTTCACATCACGCCATGGTGCTTCCGTGCTTCCAAAATGATTCTCAAAAGGATGTGCTCGATTTTCCCCAACAAGTAAAAGAAATATCCTTTGCAAATTCCCCAAATGGTGAATTTCATTGAATTTCCACGGGGAAATATCAAATCCCCGTCGCAAACCCAGGGAAGGCCCAAGGTACCACAAAGAGCAGCCGCACTGATCGATCCGTGGCCATCACCTGTAGTGCACGCGGCCCGTGCAGCCAACGTCGCACGGCCGCGGCGATGTTCTTCGCCACCAGGGGGAAACCTGGGCACGGCATCACCAGGGGATGCGAGTTTTCACTGGCAAAAAAATGTAAAATGAAAATATAGGGGGTACTGCAAATTGCAAGCATTGGGATTTTACCAACGAAAGGTTTAGGGGTTGATTGACCGAAAGTTGGATTTAAGCCCCACAAAGAGTGATTTAACTGACGAAAATGAGAATACTTCATACCTTGGCAGAAAAAGTAAATGATGGAGAGCACCATAACATGTGGCAGAAATGGAGGATTTAAAGTGAATATGCTGTACACAATAAAACTGCGTATGTGACTGAGAGTGATGCACCATAACATGTGGCAAAAATGGAGGATATTCCCAGCACAATCAGATCCTTTCGAATGTTCACCCCATCCCCGGTACAGTACCAGTAATTTCTTCACGACAAACGGGATCCAAAATCAGACCCACCAACAAACCTCGGTCTCCAACGGAAGTGGTTGTGGATCAAAACCCTGGTACCCTTATTTTCACATCAGAATGCTGGCAAAACTGATGTTCTTCCCAAACGAAATTATATATTTGAAAGTGTTTGACAATCCCCGAATGAATTTTCACTTCCCAAGTCTGGCTGTGACATGGTCGAGCAGCAACTCTGCATTTTGTAGATCGCACGAAAGGCTGTTGGTTCGACACGGAATGGTCACGACCGTCCTTCGTCAGACGAAGACGTGCTTACCGAACAACGGAGGATAGGGTGGTAGCCGCAGCAAGTGTCTGGCTACATCCTCTGGGCCAAAAAGGAACACCAGACAATTCCCTAGGACAATCGAACCAACGTTGACTCACCATGATTTCCAGGTGGATTTTCATTGTTATTATTGTTGTTTTTTTTGTTATTGTCAAGAATGGGAAAGAATTGGATTTGCCGTGTATAAACGCATGTGTGTGTAAAAGTTTCTGTGTGTAAACGTTTCGTGCGTAAGAGTTTCTGTGTGTAAAAGTTTTTGTGTCGAAAAGGTCCTCTGTGCAATTTTTTTTGTGTAAAACCTTCTGTGTGTAAACGCGTCGGTTTGTAAAAAGTCCCCTGTGTTAAAGTAAAAAATTTCTCTGTATAACAGATTCTGTGTGTAAACACGTCTGTTCGTACAAAAACCCTTGTGTAAGAGTTCTTCTGTGTAAAGATTTTTCTGTGTAAAGATTTCTCTGTGTAAAAGTTTCTGTGTGCAAACCTTCCTGTCTAAAGATTTTCTGTGTAAAAGTTCCTCTGTGTAAAAGTTGTTCTGTGTAAAAATTGCGGTGTGTCAAAGTTTCTGTCTGTAAAAATTCCTTGGTGTGAAAACTTCTCTGTGTAAATGTAAAGGTTCCCTGTGTAAAAAAATAGTATTTTTTTATGTATAAAGATTTCTCTTTGTACAAGCCTCTTTGTGTAAAAGTTTTTTCTGTGTGGAATTAACTGCCTTTCTGTATGTGTAAAAACCCGCTGTGTAAAGATTTCCCTGTGTAAAAACTTTTGTGTAAACACGTCTGCGTGTAATTTTTTTGTTTGCAATGCCCCTCTGTGTAACGACTTCCGTGTGTCAAGTGTGTCAACGCTTCTGTTTGTAAAATTCCTGTGTGTGAAGAGTTCTCTGTGTAAAGATTTCCCTGTGTAAAAGTTTGTGTGTAAGCGCATCTGTGCGTAAAAGTTTCTGTGTGTGAAATTGTTTGATATTTTTTGTGCGTAATTGTTTTTTGTGTTTTTTTTTGTTCTGTTTAAGTCTCTTTGCGTAAAGGATTCCGTGTGTAAAAAGTCTTCTGTGTAAAGACTTCTCTGTGTAAAAGTTCCTCTGTGCAAAAGTTTCTGTGCAAAAAAGTTCTTGTGTATAAAGTTCCTCCGTGTGAGAGTTTTTGTGTGTTAAAGTTCCTGTGTATAGACTTTCCAATGTAAAAGCCCCTTCGCTAAAATTTTGTGTGCGTAAAAACGCTTCTGCATAAATGTATACCTTGTGTGAAAGCGTCTGCTTGTGTGTCAAAGTTCTTCTGTGTAATTTTTTTTCTGTGTAAAAGTTCCGATTCCTCTCTGTAAAAGCTTATGGTATAAAACCTCTCTGCGTAAAGGTTTCTGTGTAAAAATCTGCAGTGTAAAGACTTCTGTGTGTAAAGGTTTCTATGCGTAAAAGCTTTTGTACGTAAGTCCATCTGTGTTGGCGACATCGCAGTCAGCTGCAAAGACGGCATGAGAACCTACAGGTACACATATGCTACAATAACTTCATTATCACTCATCATCCGTGCAATCGTCCTTAGTCATCAACAACCTAGCTCATTTTGCAGTAACAGTCATCACCAGTCACGATCATTCATGTTCATTCATCATCATTTATCTTGTATGTCTATCTTCTAGTCCACTCTCTTTTGATCTACTCCCTCCTGCTTTTCTCTCGGGCCACACTGTCGTCTAGATTTCAATCATTTCAATCTGTAGAGGATGGTGGGCTGGTGAAATCATAGAACTCAACACTCCAAGACACTGACAGCTTCGTATCCTTTCAGGAGCAGCCCAAAACTCAACCTTGGGCTTCGGATCCACCGGCTTAAATGTTATAAGACACAATAAGACCAGTAAGCAGCAGGCCCGGCTCGATGTCAGCTGCCTGTGTCGGCCATTCCGCAGCTCTGCTGTGAGGCGAAATCCATACGAAAAAAGATGCCGGGTTGTCATACAGCATGCTGCATGGACCTCAGTGACGCTGTCCTCCGACAGACCAATGATGCGGATAGCCAGCAAGAACTCATCCGCCGGCTGCAAATCACCCAAGCTGTCCCAGGATGCTGCTGGGTCTAGGCTTTGCATCCGCTTGCACCTCGGATGCAAACGAATACTGCAGCGGCAGAATACCATGCTTCATAGCAAACATGAACACAACACCTCCTGAGCAACTCGCTCACTTGGCTAAATTTGGCACCGCCCAGGTGTAGTCTAGTCATGGGCAGCCGAGGACATCCCAGAAAGACTGGCAAAAAGTAACTCCAATTTGGGCACCAAAACTGCAGGTTGCAACACAGCAAAATAGCCAGGAGCGGAAAAAAAAATACACGCCGAAAAAGCGAAAACTTGGGCAAGTTTCTGGTGATATTTGGTCGAAACGAAGAGCAAATATGGGCAAATGTTTCTGTGTGATGTGTAACTATAATGCGCGTTGCAAATGAGGCGCTGAACTCTTGGTGACGCAAATCAATGAACACACGCGTGTTTGCTGACCTCTTTTGCAAGCTGCGCGTCCTACATGTTGCAGTGGCCACACACATCCAAAACCTAGCCGGCACCCCATCATTCCCCACATTGACGTGTGGGGTTTTTGTTTTTAGTTCTGTATCCGCTCCGTCCTCCTCCCGAACTCCCGTCCTCCTCCGTGTCCTCACTCACTCACTCACACACACACTCACTCACTCACTCACTCACCCACTCACCTTGTGCATGCACATACATACACACACACACAATCTCACCCACCATCACCCCCCCATCACTCTTATACTTCCTCTTCCCTTCTTGCTTTTCTATGCTCAGTCTAAGTCTAGAGAAGTTGGTAAAAGCTTTTGTACGTAAGTCCATCTGTGTTGGCGACATCGCGGTCAGCTGCAAAGACGGCATGAGAACCTACAGGTACACATATGCTACAATAACTTCATTATCACTCATCATCCGTGCAATCGTCCTTAGTCATCAACAACCTAGCTCATTTTGCAGTAACAGTCATCACCAGTCACGATCATTCATGTTCATTCATCATCATTTATCTTGTATGTCTATCTTCTAGTCCACTCTCTTTTGATCTACTCCCTCCTGCTTTTCTCTCGGGCCACACTGTCGTCTAGATTTCAATCATTTCAATCTGTAGAGGATGGTGGGCTGGTGAAATCATAGAACTCAACACTCCAAGACACTGACAGCTTCGTATCCTTTCAGGAGCAGCCCAAAACTCAACCTTGGGCTTCGGATCCACCGGCTTAAATGTTATAAGACACAATAAGACCAGTAAGCAGCAGGCCCGGCTCGATGTCAGCTGCCTGTGTCGGCCATTCCGCAGCTCTGCTGTGAGGCGAAATCCATACGAAAAAAGATGCCGGGTTGTCATACAGCATGCTGCATGGACCTCAGTGACGCTGTCCTCCGACAGACCAATGATGCGGATAGCCAGCAAGTACTCATCCGCCGGCTGCAAATCACCCAAGCTGTCCCAGGATGCTGCTGGGTCTAGGCTTTGCATCCGCTTGCACCTCGGATGCAAGCAAATACCGCAATGACAGAATACCGTGCTTCATAGCAAACATGAACACAACACCTCCTGAGCAACTCGCTCACTTGGCTACCACCCAGGTGTAGTCTAGTCATGGGCAGCCGAGGACATCCCAGAAAGACTGGCAAAAAGTAACTCCAATTTGGGCACCAAAACTGCAGGTTGCAACACAGCAAAATAGCCAGCTGAGCGGGAAAAAAAATACACGCCGAAAAAGCGAAAACTTGGGCAAGTTTCTGGTGATATTTGGTCGAAACGAAGAGCAAATATGGGCAAATGTTTCTGTGTGATGTGTAACTATAATGCGCGTTGCAAATGAGGCGCTGAACTCTTGGTGACGCAAATCAATGAACACACGCGTGTTTGCTGACCTCTTTTGCAAGCTGCGCGTCCTACATGTTGCAGTGGCCACACACATCCAAAACCTAGCCGGCACCCCATCATTCCCCACATTGACGTGTGGGGTTTTTGTTTTTAGTTCTGTATCCGCTCCGTCCTCCTCCCGAACTCCCGTCCTCCTCCGTGTCCTCACTCACTCACTCACACACACACACTCACTCACTCACTCACTCACCCACTCACCTTGTGCATGCACATACATACACACACACACAAACTCACCCACCATCACCCCCCCATCACTCTTATACTTCCTCTTCCCTTCTTGCTTTTCTATGCTCAGTCTAAGTCTAGAGAAGTTGGTAAAAGCTTTTGTACGTAAGTCCATCTGTGTTGGCGACATCGCGGTCAGCTGCAAAGACGGCATGAGAACCTACAGGTACACATATGCTACAATAACTTCATTATCACTCATCATCCGTGCAATCGTCCTTAGTCATCAACAACCTAGCTCATTTTGCAGTAACAGTCATCACCAGTCACGATCATTCATGTTCATTCATCATCATTTATCTTGTATGTCTATCTTCTAGTCCACTCTCTTTTGATCTACTCCCTCCTGCTTTTCTCTCGGGCCACACTGTCGTCTAGATTTCAATCATTTCAATCTGTAGAGGATGGTGGGCTGGTGAAATCATAGAACTCAACACTCCAAGACACTGACAGCTTCGTATCCTTTCAGGAGCAGCCCAAAACTCAACCTTGGGCTTCGGATCCACCGGCTTAAATGTTATAAGACACAATAAGACCAGTAAGCAGCAGGCCCGGCTCGATGTCAGCTGCCTGTGTCGGCCATTCCGCAGCTCTGCTGTGAGGCGAAATCCATACGAAAAAAGATGTCGGGTTGTCATACAGCATGCTGCATGGACCTCAGTGACGCTGTCCTCCGACAGACCAATGATGCGGATAGCCAGCAAGAACTCATCCGCCGGCTGCAAATCACCCAAGCTGTCCCAGGATGCTGCTGGGTCTAGGCTTTGCATCCGCTTGCACCTCGGATGCAAACGAATACTGCAGCGGCAGAATACCATGCTTCATAGCAAACATGAACACAACACCTCCTGAGCAACTCGCTCACTTGGCTAAATTTGGCACCACC